TTCTAACATGGTTAGTAAAACTCGATGGATGATGGGTGCCTGGGTGGCGGAGTCAGTCGAGTGCTCAACTGGGTTTTGGCTCAGGTCATGATCTCAGGGAAGTGGGATGGAGCCCCGTGTCAGGATCCAAGCTCAGCACAGAGTCTGCTTGAGATTCTCTCCCTCTGCTCCTCCTTCCACTTGGATGCTCTCTCTTTTTGAAATGAATAAATAAATCCTTTAAAAAAATAAAAGAACGAGATAGTGACACCTGCCCTGATATGGTTGAAGTCTGAGTTCATGCTTGTCCCCTTTTTGGGACACGTCCAGAGCAGGCCAATCTACAGAGACAGGGAGTTGATCAGTGGTTGCCAGGGACTGGGGACAAGCTTCTTTTGGGGGCCATGGAAAGTTCTAATATTAGATGACACTCCTGCCCAATATACTCAAACCACCAAATATGCTAACTATGCTAAAAAACACCGGATTGCATAATAAAATAGTGGATTTTGTGGTGTGTGAGTTATATTGCAGAAGAAACAGAGAACAGGGCACCTGTCTAGTTCCATTTCCTCATCTGCTCCTGCGCCCGGAGTTGCGGGGCAGGTCCTGCAAGGGGAGCCTCTGGCCAGGCCATGTGTGGGGGGGCTCCTGTCCTGCATCCAGGATGAAGGCCGCCCCCACATGCTGGACACCTCCCCTCAGCCTCCCAGAGTCCCTGGGCTTCTAGAGACCTGCTCTGTTGATAGAAAGACAGAGGAGGCTGCCTCTGGGTTCAGGATTCTGAGGGGAGGAGTTGGGCTTGGATCCTGGCCATGGAGCTGGGGGGTCCACGTGGGGTCCTTGCCTCCCGTCATCGCAGGGAACGGCGAGGTCTGACACGCCTGGAGCTGGCAGGTTTGCTCCGTGGGGGCATTCCGTGGCCCTTCCGTGGGGCACGATGCATTATGCATGGGAACTCTTTGCGGGAACACCCCCCCCCTACACCCTGTAACAGGGAGCCTCAGCAGGTCAGAACACAGGACTGCACAGCCAGCCCCTTTCTGAGCAGAGGTGGGTCCTCACCCGGCTCCTGGGCTCCTGGGGACTGGCTCCTCCTGACCCTCCCTCTCCTCAGGCCAAACCCCCCGGCACCCACAATTCTGAAAACTTTGCAGGACACAGAGACGTTGTAACCCACGCAGGACCCTCAGTCAGATACAGATTGAGACAAACACGTGGATTTTGTTTGGACAATGGTTCATACAAACTCACTGTGGAAGGGCATTTGGGGAAAACTGAATATCGGCCAAGTGTTAGGTGATGTAAGGGAATTGTTACACATTTGTTAGTGTGATCATGGCATTTGGTCATGTAAAAAAACATTTCATTTTTCCAGGTACGTATTGATACATTTAGGGATAAAATGGCATGGTTTCTATAATTAGCCTTAAAAAATTTCAGGAAGGGATCCCTGGGTGGCGCAGCGGTTTGGCGCCTGCCTTTGGCCCAGGGCACGATCCTGGAGACCCGGGATCGAATCCCACATCGGGCTCCCAGTGCATGGAGCCTGCTTCTCCCTCTGCCTGTGTCTCTGCCTCTCTTTCTCTCTCTCTCTCTCTCTCTCTCTCTCTCTCTCTCTCTGTGACTATCAAAAATAAATAAAAATAAAAATTTATTTAAAAAAATTTTTCAGGGGATCCCTGGGTGGCGCAGCGGTTTGGCGCCTGCCTTTGGCCCAGGGCGCGATCCTGGAGACCCGGGATCGAATCCCACATCAGGCTCCCGGTGCATGGAGCCTGCTTCTCCCTCTGCCTGTGTCTCTGCCTCTCTCTCTCTCTCTCTCTGTGACTATCATAAATAAATAAAAAATAAAAAAAATAGTTAAAAAATTTTTTTCAGGAAAAATGGAACCAAATGTGACAAAATGTTCATAGTTCGCTCATAGTATTGGGTATATGGTTACTGTATTATTCTGTCTAAATAAAAATGTTTAAAACGTTATCATTTACAACAGCACCATACATTTGGTCCTAGGAATTAAACAGATAAAGACATGCAAGACTAGGCAGCCCGGGTGGCTCAGCGGTTTAAGCGATGTCTTCAGGCCAGGGCCTGATCCTGATCCTCTCTCTCATGAATAAATAAATAAATCTTAAAAAAAAAAAAAGACATGCAAGACTGTCGTAGAGAAGGTCATAAAGCTTACAGACAGCTCATTGTTCATAACCTGGGACATAGGGACACACACAGAGATAGGTCAGAAAGCTTGGTCTTTGTTTTAATTATCTATCACTCTGAGCAAAACTCAGCACTGTACTTAGTGGCTTAAGACAACCACCTTTTGGGTGACTGGGTGGCTCAGTGGTTGAGCGTCTGCCTTCGGCTCAGGGTGTGACCCTGGGGTCCTGGGATTAAGTTCCGCATCGGGCTCCCTGCATGAAGCCTGTTTCTCCCTCTGCCTCTCTCTATGTCTCTCATGAATAAATATATAAAATCTAAAAAAAACAAAAAACAAAAAAACAAAAAAAAACCCAACCATTTTATTTATTGGATGTTCTACTCAAAACCTGCTGATGGGGGTGCCTGGGTTGCTCCGTGGGTGAAGCTTTTGGCTCAGGTCATGATCCCGTGTCCTGGGATCAAGCCCCATGTTGGACTCCCTGCTCCTTCTCCCTCTCCCTTTGCTGTTTCTTCTGCTCATGGTCTCTCTCAAACAAATAAATATTTTTTAAAGACTTTATTTATTCATGAGAGACACACACAGAGAGAGAGAGAGAGAGAGAGAGGTAGAGACACAGGTAGAGGGAGAAGCAGGCTCCATGCAGGGAGCCCGACATGGGACTCGATCCCAGGTCTCCAGGATCACACCCTGGGCTAAAGGTGGTGCTAAACCACTGAGCCACCCGGGCTGCCCTCAAACAAATAAATATTAAAAACAAAACAAAACAAAACAAAAACCTGGGCACCTTAGTGGTTAAATCGGTTGAGCATCTAAAGGGAGCCTGCTTCTCCCTTCCCCTCTAGTCAAACTCTCTTGCTATTTCTCTCTCTCTCTCTTTTTTAAGACTTATTTATTTACTCATGAGAAACACAGAGAGAGGCAGAGACACAGGCAGAAAGAGAAGCAGGCTCCCTGCAGGGAGCCCATGTGGGACTTGATCTCGGATCCCAGGATCACGACCTGAGCCACCCAGGTACCCCCCCCCCTCAAATAAATAAATAAAATCTTAAAAATAAAATAACAAAACCTGCTGGTCTGGTTGGTGGGCTCTCCCCGTGTCCCCTCTGTTCCATCACCGTCCCTGTGTCTAGCTCTCTCCCCCAGGTGACCTCTTCCCACGATTCTCCTTCTTAAGGCTTGGGCCCTCTCAAAGCCCCTCCCAGGGCCAGCCCAGACTCTGGGGGAAGCCTGCAGAAGGGCCAGAGGGAGCCTGTGAGTGGAGCTGGACTCTGCTGAGACAGCAACACTCAGGACCACAGGCCGATTTGCAAAGCCAGGACCTCTGCAGAGGTGAGGTGGGGTGTACAAGCCCCCCCCCCCAGCAGGCAGGCTGGTCCCAGGAGATTACAGACCCCCTTTCTCCACCTGTAACAGTAGAAGATAAAACTAACACTGACCTCGAAGGTAGGGAGGTGTGATCTGCAAAGCACTTAATGTAGGACAAATACCAGGATTTGTGGGGTGATGTACCACGTGTGTGAGTAGGCTGACGTGGGGTCAGAGTTCAACAAAGGGGTTCCAGCTCCTTCCTGCTCCTGCCTGTCTCTTAAGCCCCTCTATAGGATCTCAAGATCCTGCAGCCCCAGAAGCCTGTCTGGCAGCCGTCGCATCTCTCTGGATGCTGGAGACACTGTGTCCGGCTCTGGGCCTTCAGCATGGAGTGGCTCCCAGTAGGACAGGACCCCCCGAGTGTTGCCAAGTGTGAGGTATGTCCCTCTGGGCTCCACTAAGCCCTCGCCTCAGCTGGGTAGCCGGGCAGCTGTGGAGAATCTGGAAAGGAAGCAGGCCACGCTGACGGCCTCTGGCAAGCCACCTACTCCCGGGCCAGGACCACCTACTGTCTAGAGCAGCTTAGTCTCTCCTGGTCCCAGGGGACCTGAGTAGCCTTCACAGTTAGCTTGCTCTTCAAGAGGACGGCTGGTTTGTCCCGAGGCCACCAGTGCCAGGGACAGATCCTGGGATGGGCTACGTGAGGGTTTCCAGGGGCCTCCAGGCTGGGCAGGGGCAGCCTTAACACAGCTGCACAGGACGAGGGGACCTCACCGAACCCCCTGGAAAGAGGAGCCAATAGTGACCAGTGGAGCCTCAGGAGCTGTAAGAACACTCGAAGGCCCTAGTGGACACACCAACCTCCCTCCACAGCAACAGGGCGCATGAGGCAAGGATGCCACTCAAATTTAGCATGTCCTGAGAGGGAGGCAGCAGCTGTGAAAGCCAAGGGGCCACTTGTGGAGTGAGGAGAGTGGGAGGGCTGGATGGGGTGGGGCAGGGCAGGGCAATGAGGGGTAGAGGGGTTGGGGGGGCACTGTGTCCACTCTGGCTTTCCTCTGGTTGGCTTCTGGCTTCCTCCCAGGCCTGTGGGAGGTACTGGCTCTTGGTCCCGCAGGTAGGAGGTGGGCTTCCTGGGCCTGGGATGCCCACACCCAGCAGGGACACAGCAGCAGGGACGTGTCTGCCCCCACGTGTGCTCAGCCCTGCCCAAGGGTGGCCCTGGGACCCCAAGCCTCCCTACGGGCCCAGTAGGGACAAGAAAAGGAGCCTTCGGGTCGGAGGATGAGATGGGGAGAGCCCTGAGCTGTGGGAGGAGTGGCCTGGACACAGAGGGCACCGTTTCCTCTAGGCCCATGGGCTCTGCAGCCAGTGGTCCACATGCTGGGGCCTCCAGGGAAGGGGGTCTTGCTGCCCCACCACACTGGGCCTCCTCCCCCAGTTTGGGTGACCCCACAAGGGTCAGCAGAGGGCACGGCGGTGACCTTTGACAAGTTGCTGGTGGCTGTGTGGATGTCCACCCACAGACACAAGTCTCGTAGGGCACAGATTCAGAACCCTTTATTGCCCACGGCCCGGGCTCCGGCACTGGGCTGGTGTGAAGGTAGGCCGCTGTGGCGGGACAGGTCAGCGACTAGGCCACAGGAGGGTGAAGGCACCGCGGCTGCAGCGGAATTCCGGTTCGGGCTGCTCGGGCTTGGGTTCCACGGAGACCAGGCGCCTGGTCCCGCGCTGGCTCAGGGGGATGCAGTCGGAGACGCGGACCTCCAGGGCCCTCCCCGTCCTGGAGCAGGGGCGCCGAGGAGATTAGGGCAGGAGTGTCAGGGCCCCACAAGCCCCTAGGACCGCTGGGTGCGCCCGCACTCACCCCTGGCAGTAGGCGGCCAGCACGCCCACCAGCTCCCCCACGCGGTTGTCCAGCGGCGGCCGGGAGCGGTGCAGACACACCACCAGGTCATCCTGGCCCCGCGCGTGCAGCACGACCAGCTGGTCCCGCCCACTGGTCACACTCAGCCCGGTCACCTGCGTGGCCACGGGGTCAGGGGAGTGGCCGGCCTCCTCCCCCTGCCAGCCTCCACCCCCACCCCCAGCAGTAGGGAAGGCCCTGCCCTCTTGAGCTGATGGTTTGTTCTAGAAGCTCTGTCCTTTGCAGGTAGACCCCTGCCTCCCCCCACGGCACTCACCGCCTCCAGGGGCACAGCCCGCATCACCCGGTACTGCCGGCCCGGGTCCAGCTTGTAAAGGTGCCGGTCAGTGAGCAGCAGCGCGCGGTCCCGGCTCTTGTGGAAGCGATTCACCTGTGGGACAGGCGCTTGGGGTCATCTGTCCACCTGGGGCCTCTTCTCCCTGGATCCCTTTTCTCAGGACTGAGTTGGATCTGATGCTTGGGAAGCCCTTTCCCTGGGCCTGGGCTGGACTTGGCTGGAGCTGCTGCCCCCTTCCCAGCCATCCCACTCCTCACCTTCCGAACGTGGCTGGAGAAGAGCACGGCGCCGAAGCAGTCCTTCTCCCGGAGTGCCTTCAGTCGCTCAGCGAACAGGCCTGAGGCTGTGGGGTTGTCAGTGGCCTGAGGACAGATTGGGGGAGCTTAAGGGCCAAGCTGGGGACAGTGCTGGGCGAACAGTGGGTCTGGTGAGTGGGCACCTCGCCCAGAAGCCAAACCAAGTCAGGCCTTGAGCCTGCCCTCCTTAGGGGCCTGAGGGCCTGAGGTCCAGTCCCTGGCAGCCCCAAGGTTCTGCTCACGCTTATGCCCTCCACAGCTGCCCAGCAGCCCAAAAGCTGAGAAGGCAGGGTCCTGGGGGCCAGGGGCACAGTTCCCTGTGCCTGGGGGAGGGCCAAGGGGAGCCAGGGCATGGGTGCAGGTCGGGGGTAGGGGGCCGGCTCTACCTCTGTACCTGCGGAAGAGGGGCCAGAGTGCAGAGAAGGTGCTCCGAGGCCCAGGCCACATGGTTCTAGGGGGAGGCCAGGGCCTAGGGCGGAGGGGCATGGCCCACGGGCCAGACAGACAGCCGGGCCCAGGGAGAGGACATCTGGGATGGGCACAGCAAGCTCTCTGCCCTGAGCCCCTCCCTGCTGCCCAGCCTTCAGGGCCCCGGCACTCACAGAGGACAAGTAGTCCCTGACCCAGGCTCGCCGGCAGCCCCAGTCTTGTCGCAGCTCCTGCAGGACCCCCATGGCAGCCACCTTGGCCTTGATCTGGGCCATGTCTGAAGGTGGGATATTCTTCACCAGCTGCCGGGCCCGCCACCTACAGGTCACCAGGAGGCCAGATGGACCCCATGCAGCCTTCACCGTCCCCATCCTGGTCTTGCCCCTGGACTCACGTCTATGGCCGCCTGTCACTCCCTTTCCTCCATAGGAGAAGGCTGCCTTCGGCCTCCCTCCTGGCCTCCTGGGTCTCAGCATGATGTGCCCCACCCCCCCACTCTGAGGACAGGGGCTGCTCTGTGCTGCTCCACCTGGAGAACTCCTACTAGGATGCTTTGTTCCACGCATTCCCTAGTCCCAGCCAGCCACCCTCCTGAGTGTGGGGTGTGGGGACCCAGTTACTATGAGCAGCCTCCTGCTTTCCTGTTTAGCAATGGGGCTGCTGGGGAGCAGAGGGACAGGCCAGGGCTTCAGAGGGCGCTAGCTGAACAGAGATACACGGAGGGCAGCAGCTGAGGGCGCCTACCTGCAGAACAGCACGTGGCAGGTGTCCTGGAAAGGCTGCAGCACAGCAGGAGGCGGTGGCCAGACCAGGTCTCTGCCGTAGAGGGGGGGCTGCCTTGCCGCCTGGAACCGCCGCTGCAGCTCAGCCAGGTGAGCACGTACCTTGTGCCTTCGGAACCAGCGCATGATGGTGTAGACGGCCCGCAGTCGCCGGCAGCGCCACCTCGCCAGAGTGCCCCGCCAGGCCTGGGGGGCCAGCCAGGCTCTCAGTCAGTCTGGTCTGTCTGGCCAGGCCCCTCCTCCCCGCTGGTTTCCATCCCCTCCCCTCTCTGCAGCCCACCTCCTCCACCCTCAGCCCAAAACTGGGCCAGGCTACCCCGTCTGCAACTCCTGGGAGCCACCTTCTCCTGCAGCAGGTTGCTTCCTGGGTGGGCAGGTGGCCCTGCTGGAGCCTCTGCCTGACTCCTGGGAGAGCTGCCTGCCCCGCTCCTTACCCTTGTGCCCAACACCTGGCCCCTGGAGATGGGGGTGACTTCCCCCTCCACGAGGGGCAGTGCCAACTGTCCACCTGGGACCCAAGCTGACCCTGAGAATGAACCCCCAGACCGGGAAGCCCACACACACAGCAGGCAGCCCAGGGGACTCATAGATGAAAACAGACAAGGAGCCTGACCCAGGCTGAGGAGAGGACAGCGGTGTGGACAGTCCTGGATATGGTGTGGGGACAGACAGACACACAGAGATGGGGTGGGGGGAAGCACACAATTGTAGCAATCGGGGAGGATGGTAAGTCATCATAGGGATCTCTCAACTTTTCTGTGGGTTTAAAATGTTAAAAATAAACAGTTGGGGAGACAAATGGGAGAACTCCTGTCCTTTGGGGATACACCAAAATGACTTCAAACAAAATGATTCGATGCAGCACCTGCGTGGCTCAGTTGGTTTGGTGTTGGACCTTTGATTTCGGCTCAGGTCGTGGGATCAAGCCCTGCATCGGCGCTGGCGCTCAGTGGACAGTCTGCTTCTCCCTCTCCCTCTCTCTCTGCCCACCCCCCACTCAGATGTTCTCAGTCATCTCTAAAAGGAATACATAAATCTTAAAAAACAAACAAACAAAAAAGAATTGCTTAAAAATAACTGGGATGGGCTGCAGGTGTCTGCACAAAACCACAGTGGTCACAGAGAGGTACAACTGACGCTGGGGAGTAGGCGGGGGAATTTAGTAGACCATTATGCATACTTTTCTCTAGGTCTGAAATCTTTCAGAGTGAATAGAAGAAAAGAAGGGAAGAGAAGGAAGGGGGATGCTCCGGTGGCTCAGTTAAGCATCTGACCCTTGATTTAGGCTCAGGTCATGATCTCAGGGTCCTGGGATCACCGAGTCAGGCTCCCTGCTCAGTGGGGAGTCTGCTTGTTCCTCTCCCTCGGCCCCTCCCCTGCTCACCCACTCCCTCTCTATCTCCCTCAAACAAATAAATAAAATCCTAGGAAAAAAAAAAGGGGGGAAGGAAGGAAGCCAGATCCTGAAAATCTTGTTTTGAGCACTTACATCTACCTGGGCCTGAAGCTGATGGCCTGGGGAATGAAGTGAACTAACCCCATCCACAACTTTTACTTAAGTCACTCAGTTCTGGTCTGTTTCCTGCTAGAGGGGATTCCTGCGGTGCCTGGAGGGGCGCCTGTAGGCCCTGTCGGTGTATGCACCCGCACTCCAGGTGGTGCACATCCAACCCTCCCATCCCCTCTGGGTACACACCCCTCCCTCCCCTCCCCCCTGCACATTCATTCCCCTCCACCCCCTCACCCCTACCAGGTACACACCCATCCCTCCCTCCCCTCTAGGTGCACACCCCTCCCTCCCCTCCCCCCTGCACATCCATTCCCCTCCACCCCCTCACCTCCACCAGGTACACACCCATCCCTCCCATCCCCTCTAGGTGCACACCCCTCCCTCCCCTCCCCCCTGCACATCCATTCCCCTCCACCCCCTCACCCCCACCAGGTACACACCCATCCCTCCTATCCCCTCTAGGTGCACACCCCTCCCTCCCTTCCCCCATGGTGCATACCCATCCCCCCACCGCAGGTGGTGCACGTGCATCCCTCCCTTCCCCCCACCCCATGCACACCCATCTCTCCCCTCCCCCCCAGCTTTCACCCATCCCTCCCCTCCTCCCATGCACATCTTTCCCTCCCCTCCCCCTCCAGCTGCATTCTCATCCCTCTCTTCCCCCCATGCACATCCATCCCCCTACTCCAGGTGGTACACACGCATCCCTCCCCTCCCCATCCATCCCTTCCCCCACCCCAGCCCCCCACCCCGGTGCAAACCCAACCCCCACATCCCCTCCATGGTAGGCATCCAGCTGGCCCCCACCTTCTGCAGCAGCAGCACAATGATGGGGATCAGGCGAGCACGGCTCTGCTCCAGCGTGACCAAAGTCTGGGGTGAGCGGATGAAGAGCTTGCTGTGGCCAAAGGCCACATCCCCTAGTAGCCCATGTTGCTCCAGGAGGGCACTCACAGCTGCCCTGTCTGAGCCCAGCAGGTGATTGGGCCATGTGTATTCACAGGTCATCTTGTACCTGTCACCACAGGACAGCACAGTGGGCACCATGCTCTGGGGCGAGGTGTGGTGCTGCTCTGCCCCGAGCCACCCAGCCCATGCCCCCACCCTCCCCATGTGGCTCATCCCAGTCCCTGCCCACCGTGTCCCACATATACACACAGGTCCTCACTGTCCATGTCGCGCGTGTGTGTGTGTGCACGGGTATGTGTGTGTGTGTGTGTGTGTGTGTGTGTGTGTGTGTGTGCGCACGGGTATGTGTGTGAATGAGAAGCACTGGCTGCATTTGTGACCCTCTGGCCACCCCTCCAACTCCTCACCAGATCCCAGCCCATGCATGGGAGACGGACAGGTGGGGACATGGGGCTCCGGGCTAGCAGGGAACAGTACCTGAGCAGGAATCGAGGGTAGGGCTGGCGGGAAGCAAAGCCGGCCCTCCGGACCCGCACATTCTCCAGCAGCCCCAGGTATGAAACCTGATGGCGACAGTGGTCCTCGTCCAGCCTGCCAGCCACCTTGTCCTCATTGGGCTTGATGCAGCGTACATAGAAGGGCTCCTGCCACAACAGAGGACACTCAGAGACACCAGCATCAGCCCCCACGGCCACCAGGCAGTGTGCAGGTGTCCCTCACAGGCTGCCCCTCACAGGCTGCCCAGGGAAGAGGCTCTTGCAGGGGGAAGGGGAGACTGAGCGGCCAGGTCAGGAGGAGGCAGGACGGCCCGCAAGGGGCCCGACTGAGTCTCCGGAAGCTCTGTGTTTGGGTGGGCTCTGGGGTCCTCCTGCCGCCTCCTCGGACTTTGGCCCCAAGCCACACAGAGAAGCAAATACTGCTTTCCTGTCCCCATAGGCCCTCCCCACCACCTCCTGCGTGAGAGGCAGGGAGAGGACAGGGGAGGGCTGCTGCCAATCTCATTTTTACTCAAGCTTCAGCCTGGCCCTGGAGGTCCTGGTCTGCACAGAGGTGGGTTCCCCCTGGCTGCGGTGGGGGTGGGGGTGTGGTTCACGGCAGGCAGGAAATGACCCCCCACCTTCCCCACGGTGTGCAGAGGTGCTGGGGCTGGTTTGCCAGCCAGGCACAGACAAAAGGGTCTGTAAAGATCCATGGCAGGGTGGGGGTGGGGATGGTGTGTACCTTGGAGGCCAGGTTTTCCACTAGGGCCACCATGGAGTTCTTGAAGAGAGTGCCAGCGGTCAGCGGGCGCTTTGTCACTTCTGTGATGTCCTGTTGGCCATCTGGCCACATGGTCCGCAGGGTGGGGTCGGAGCTGTGGATACAGGCCACATACCAACTGCCATCTGGAGGGCAGCCCCTCCCCCCGCTCCAGCTCTGCCCCTGGTGTGAAACCCCAGGCTGTCAGCCCATCAGGCAGGTGTCAGACCCGAGCATCTAAAGGCCCTGCCGGCCCCGGCCCCCACGCACCTGTTGTAGAGCAGCCGCTTGAAGTCTTGGAAGAGGTGGTCTCTGTTCTTGTCGATAAAGCCCTCCACTGAGTACCTGTGGGTCCAGGGCTGCTGAGGGGCAGGAGGCCCTCACCCTCCTCCCCTGCCTCTGCACTCCTAGGCCTCCCTCCCCTCTCCCCTGCTCTCCCACACCCACTTTTCTTCTCAGCATATAAGACTCTGTCCTTCAGGTGATCCCTCGGTGGCTCAGCAGTTTAGCGACTGCCTTTGGCCCAGGGCACCATCCTGGAGTCTCGGGATCGAGTCCCACGTCCGGCTCCTGGCATGGAGCCTGCTTCTCCCTCCTCCTGTGTCTCTGCCTCTCTCTTTCTCTCTCTCTCTCTCTCTCATAAATAAATAAATCTTTAAAAAAAAAAAAAAAGACTGTCCTTCAGAGGTGCCTCTCCAGGACGATGAGTCGGGGCTTATGTCCAGGGCACTGAACCCCGGCTCTAGTGAGTTCGTGCTGTATGACCAGGGACCAGTGACTTAACCTGTCTGTGCCCGAATGTGCATCGCATGCTCAGATGGGCGCCTGCTGAGTTCCATGAGTGTCAGCGATGGTAGTTATGGCCAGGAACCCCTGAGTCTGATCTGTTCGGAATCTGTGGTGCTGAGAAGCTCAGATTCATTGTTGTCCCGCCTTTTGACAACAAAAGGCTGGAAAGTGCAGGGTCCTTGGTGCACCTGCAGCTCCTGGCAGACTCTGGGCCAGTGGCCTGACCTCAGGCTGCTCTGTCCTCTCCACGTGTCCTTGGGAAGGGCTCTCTGCGAGCCACCTCCAGTCCAATTCAGGACGAGGGGAGCGGCAGGGAAATTAATAATACGGCCACGGAGATTTCTGGAGTCTTTGGGTGTTGGTCCCGAGGGTGTGCTCCAAGGATGGAAAATGCATGCCTGGGGGCTTGCTGGAAACAGACTGGCCTGTCCCACCCCCAGGTAACCTGCATCTCCATAATAGCGAGCCCCCCACCCCCACCCCAGGCACTGCATGAATTGGGCCAGAGAGGAACATTTGTTAAAAGCTTCCAGAGGCTTCTGTGGTGCAGCCAGGGCCAAGAGCTCTTATCTGAACAGCCCTGTTTCATGCTCGTCCCTTGTGGATCTGGTGTCAGGCCCGTCTTCGGCGTGCTAAGAAGGGGAGGGGGCCTTACGTGACATCCCCTGCATAGTGCTTGATCCGGAAGTCTCGGCCAAACTCCATGGTCTTGTCCGTGGGGCAGAGCTGGGCAGGGGGAGGGGGGGCAGGCCTGGGTCAAGGCACGGGGCGGGGGAGGCTGTGGAGGGTGCAGTGCTAGAGGGCAGGCCCACCAAGGGGGCACCGCCCAGGACAGGCTGGGCACGGAGGGGGTGGGGTCACAAGGGCAGAGAGGTACCTGGCGGCTGCTGTAGTGCGGGTGGTGGCGGTGGTGCGTGTCCAGGCTTTGTAAGAAGATGCGGTCGGTGATGGTGCCCGCGGCACTGCAGGCCTCGTCCAGCACGGCCAGCACGCCCCGGTGGGGCCGCTCCACCAGGTCCACAATGGTGGCGTTGTTGAAGTAGTCCACCTGGGCAGGAGCGGGCCCCGGTCAGCCCGGCCGCTGGCCTTGCTTGGTGGCACCCCCCCTGCCCAGTGGCTGGCACTCACGTTCTGCCAGGCGATGCCCTCCCGCTCGTACTCCTCTTGCTCCTGCTTCAGGATGAGCTGGATGAAGAGCTGCTGCAGCTTCTCATTGCAGTAGTTGATACAGAACTGCTCAAAGCTGCGGGGGGGCAGACGGGCGTCATGCCCTGCCAGTCAGCTAGCCCCCCCTCCGCCCTGCGCCCCCGCCTCTGGCATCACGCGCTACTGTGGACTTGGGAATCCCAGCCCAGGGGACGTGGCCACGGCTGGATGGGGTGGCTCCGCTGAGGAGCCCAGGGGGCTGACATCCTGCTCCCCGGCCCCACGGGGTGCCACGGGACTGAGGTGGCCCCTGAAGTTGGGGTCAGAGCAGGGGGGTGGCCGCTGGGCTACCCACCTGTTGACAGGGAACACCTCGAAGCCGTAGATGTCCAGCACGCCGATAACTGTGTCCTTGCCATCTCGCCGGGGGTCCCGGCCCCGGGCTTCCATGACACAGTTGATCCGGTTCACCACCCACTCAAACAGCCGCTGGTACACAGCCTGGGGAGAGGCCGGCAGCCAGCTGCTTCAGCTTGCCTCTGCCTTTGCCTCCTCCAGGAAGGCACCTGGGTGTTCCCGCCCCGCTCCCCGCAGCTCACCCCCGGGCACCTTTGCACAGGCATCCCGGGCATAGCTGGCCTCAGCTGCAGTGTGGCCCTTCTCTATGAGCTCCCTGCCTCCCGAGGCCACAGTGCGAGACAGCAGGCAGCGCAGCACCAGCTCCCGGGGCGTGGCCGTCAGCTCGGCCACGTGGTCCACCAGCACCTCCTCAGCCACCGCCAGGTGCCCCTGCTGCAGGCCGGCCGCCTCCGTCTCCACAAACTCAACGTTTCCCTGGGGACGGGGAGGATGATGGTCAGGCTATGCATCCCAGACGGGGTGTCCGCACGCCTCTGCCCAGGGAGAAGGAAGGAAAGGCAGGGATGGGGGTGTGGATGGGCCCTGGAGCACGGCTCCCTGCCCAGAACGTTGTGCCCGGGCTCCAGCTGATAGGCACCCACTCCTCAAGCCGCCTGGGGCTGAGGGGGTGAGACAGAGGCTCCGACACACTGAGGCACTGCCTGGAGCCACACAGACCTCACTGCACTTCCCTGCTGGCGGAGCCACAGACGGGTCACGGTGCAGGCCTGACCTGCCTGCTGGGGGGCACGTGGAGCCCACAGCTGAGGGCCCAGCCCCTCGGAGCCTGCGTCCTTCTCCAAGGGCGGCCCTTGGGCATCGCGTGGGGTGCTGGCCCCTCCGCCCTCGGCCAGGCTCACCAGGTGCAGTATAGCCGCCAGGATCCGATGCACGGAGCCCACCTCCTCAGGGCTGAAGCCGATCACCCTCATGGCTTCCATCACTTCCAGGTAGTGGCTCTTCTCGTCGCTCTCCAGAGCCTGCAGGACAGGGGCTCAGCACCCCAGGGCCATGCAGAGCCCCAGAGTCCTCCCACTGAATGCCTGTTAAATCGGGGTCCCGCTGAGTGGCTCACCACCCTGGTCCCCTCCTGAAGCACCGACCTCCAGCACCCAGTGCCCTGGAATGTGGCACCACAGAGCCTGGGCGCTCTGGTGCTCCCGCGGAGCCTGTCCCCACTCACACTGAGCCCCGCACCCTGCCGAGTGAAGTTGTACAGGGCGGGGTTCCTCTGCAGGTGCAGGTCCTGGAGCTCAGCGTCCTCGCAGCCCCGCAGCACCTGAAGGACAGGTACACCCACCGTGAGGCCCTCGGGGCTACAAGACCCCGCCCGACGTGCAGGAGGAACAACATGGGGGAGCTCCACGCTTGTGTGGACACCGCCAGGTCCATGCAGAACCCGCTTCTGTGGTCAGCCAACGAGTGGACACTGCCCAGGTCCATGTAGCACCCGCTTCAGTGGTCAGCCAAGGAGTGGACACCGCCCAGGTCCACGCAGAACCCTCTTCAGTGGTCAGCCAAGGAGTGGACACCACCCAGGTCCACGAAGAACCTGCTTCAGTGGTCAGTCAAGGGGTGGACACTGCCCATGTCCAGGGACAATCCCCTTCAGTGGTCCGCTAAGGTTGGACACCGTCTGGGTCCAGGGAGAACCCCCTCAGCAGTCACACATGATGTGTGACACCACCTGCATCTGGGAAGACCCTATGTCACCCAGTGTAGACACCACCCTGCTGGTGTCCGGGGAGGGGGAGGGCTTCCTGGATGTCCCACAAACGCGCTCTGGCTTACCTGGTAGAAGGCATGGAAGTTCCGTTCACCCACATGCTGCTTGAGGACTCGAGACTGTGGAGAGAGGGGCCCAGCTGCTACCCAGGCAAGGGCCCAGCTGCCCAGGGACCCACCCAGAGCCCCAAGGGTGGTGCAGGCAGAGGGGTGGCCCAGGTCAGGGAGGGTCAGCGCAGGCGGCCAGCCCACCTTCTCTAGCAAGTAGCTGTGGATGTGCCCCCCGATGGGGTCACCTTTAAAGTCAAAGTTGATGTCCATGTACTTGCCAAAGCGGCTGGAGTTGTGGTTGCGGTTGGTGCGCGCATTCCCAAATGCCTCCAGCACGCACGTGGACTTGAGCAGCACGTCCTTAACCCTGAGCAGGGCAGAGGGGGCTGGGCTGTGGCGCACAGACCTTGTAGGGGGACTGTACCGGCTGGGATCCCTGCCCCAGGCCACCTGCCCTAAGCTCCCCCTGGGTGTGGGTGAGGCCCAGGTCCTCTGGGCACGGAGGGGCCGGAGCTGCCTGCCCCCTTGCATGCTCAGATCTTCCATCATTGTGTCCCCCATTTCCCGGAACCCCACCCTGCCCCTCCAGACAGGAAGAGCCAGGGCTCTCACACAGGAAGCTGCTCCCACGAGGCCCCCTGGGTAAGAGCCAGGGAGCAGCTGCAGAGGAGGTGGACAGGTGGGCCCTGATCCTGGTCCAGGTCCTTCCTGACCATTTGGCCATCTTCTCCCTTCCGTGGGGTCTCCTGTGAGGGGCCCATCCATCAGCCCTTTGCGCCTTGCCTCTTCCCTGTTCCTGGTGGTGGGGTGCTCCAGGCACTGGGCCCTGCCTCTCCTGGGTGGAGAGGTCCTGGGTGGGCTCTGGGAGCCTTCCCGCAGACGGGGGCTCCAAACGTGGCCTAAGCCAGGCTGAGTCATATCTGTTCCCCCCCCAGGCCTGAGGCCCAGGCCATCCCTGCTCTCTCTCACCTGTCCACCTCGGCCCTCTGGCTGGGGTTGGTGACGGCAGCGATATACTGCATGATGTGCTTGCTGGCTTCTGTCTTCCCTGCCCCACTCTCCCCTGCCAGACAAGTGGATGGTCAGATAGAATGGGTGGCCACTCCCTCTGACCAGCCTCCAGGGCACCCCCTCCTGCGGGGCCTGGGGAGGCTTCCTGGGCCCAGTCCATAGGGCAGGTACCTGAGATGACAATGCAGGTGTCCCTGGAGCGGCGCTTCATTGCCCTGTAGGCAGCATTGGCCACGGCATAGAGGTGTGGTGGCCGCTCGTAGAGCTCACGGCCCTGGTACTTGGCGATGGCCTCAGGCCCATACAGGGGCAGCTCCTGGTAGGGGTTCATGGACACCAGCACTTCGCCAATGTAGGTGTAGATGCGGCCCTTCTCGAACCTGGTATGGGTAGGGCCAGGCCTCAGTGCTCAGGGCCATGGGGAGCCTGGGGGCCCTAGCCCAACCCAGGGCTGAGAGTGGGAAGGCGTGTGGGTTGACCTGACACTTCCTAGTGCAATCTTGCTGGAATCCCACCCCCACTGCCAGGTGGTGCTGGAGTCCACGCTGCTCCCCAGGGGCGTCCTGGTGGCACAGGAATGTCCACCATCCGTTTTATGAAGGGACTTTCTGGCCCAGGGCCACAGGGGGCCAGGTAGGGCCATGGGGTGGAGGCAGAGGAAGAGGCTCCGGCTGTTTCCTGTCTTCAGGCCTGGGTGGAGACCCAGAGGCAGCAGGGGAGCCCTCCTGGCCCCACCCAGATGGCTGGGACTAGGAGGGGCACAAGGAGGGGCCCTGGGGATGCTGGGACTGTGTTCCCCCTGCACATCCTCCTGCTTCTCAACCCTTCCTTTCGGGAACCCTGGCTCCTGGCCCCGGATATGTTCCTCTCTTGACCTTTCTGCCCTGGAAGTTACACTGGCCAGCCAGCTCAGCCCTTGCTCTGGCTGGGACCCGCCCTTCCCTGGCGGCTTGTGGTCCCTCCTCCAGCAGGGGTTCCTCTTCCTCCACCTCAGATGAGGGAGTTCCCCATGGGGCTCGGCAATCTCCACACCCTCTCTCATCTGCCCTGGGCCTGCTCCCCTGCAAGCTGTGTGGCTGGGGCTCAGGTCTCCATGGTTAAAATGCACATGGTAATGCCTGTCTCACAGGCTAGTGTAGAAGAATGACGTGAAAGCAGGCTCAGCTTTGTGCCCTGTACAAAATAGTCTATTTCCTGTCCTGGAACTTCAACAACGCGTGCTCAGGGCATCCCATTCCCTAACTCTGCACAGCAGCCACCTGGTGCTCCCCCTGGCTGTGCAGGGGTGAAGCCATCCGGCTGCCCAACTCCTGGTGCCACCCCATCTCTCCAACTCCGGCTCCTCCAGGGCAGTCAGACCCCGTGTCACTTCCAGGAGCCACGCCCTGCAGCACCCCATGTGCCCCCCTCCCTGAGTGTTAGCTTGTCCACCTGCGCCCTGGGACAGCGCCCGCCCGCTTCCCTTGGAGCCCCTAGGGCCCAGCACCACCCCCAGCGGCAGATGGACAGTGTGCTCTGTGCAGGGCGCTGGTACCTGCCTGTGCCTGCCGGGTGGGTGGAACAGAGAACACCCAGGCCGAGGGGGAGGCCGGGATCTGGGAAGCCCGCTCCAGCACTGGCCGGCCACTCTGGCCTTGGGAGGATGGTCCTTCCTGCCCGCCAGGTGCCCCTGCAGTCACCCACATAGCGGTGTGGGTGGGGGGGGGGTGTGCAGCCCCACCTCGTGCCCCACTGTGGGCCGATGGGTGCCAGTGAGCCTGGGGAGAGAGCCTGTGCCCTCTGCCTACCTGAGCTTTAGGTTCTCCATGAAGTCCTCCATAGTCACCTGGTCCAGGAGCACAAAGTCAGGTTTGCCGCACTCTGGGCCTTCCTCGTCCATCCTGCCAGTGGGCCCCAGGTCAGGCTGCTGAGATCTATCCGTGCAGAAGGGCAGAGGGGAGGGTGCTCTGCTGCTGAGCAGGCTCAGTCTTCAGCACGCCTCCCAGGCCCCTGCGGTGAAGTAGGAAGTGGGTTCTGGCCCCAGGGAGGGGCTGCCCTCCCCACTTGCCGCTCCCCGCGAGGGGCTCTGACCCTCGCTTCCTGGTTCCCGCACCCAGAGGGCGGGCACGCCCAACATTTGGGGTGCCAGGTTCTCTGGAGGGCTCCTGCTGGCCTCCTCCGTAAGCTCCGACCCTCAGTGGTCCCTGTGCCCACCTGTCACCCCGCCCAGACGGCATCTGTGTGGCTTGATGTGCTCATGGCTACCAACCCTCTATGTGTAACACCCAGAGCTCCACACTAGGCATGTTTTTGGCTAGGTACTTTGGATCTTGCTAAACAGTGGGAAATGCCAGTGCCCAGGCCTTTGGGGGCACGGCCTAGGGTAAACATTCTTCAAAGTGTGCAAGGACACACTGGGATGTGAGAAAACCGGCTTCATGTCCCACCGCACAGCGGGGCTGGCGGGCCAGGTTCCTCAGGCTGAGATTCCAGTGGGGCCGCAACCCAGGCCTGTGGATGGTACCCGGGAGGCCACCCCCAGCCCCCTCGCCTGGCCCTTCAGTCGTAAGGTTCAGGAAAGGCGCGGAGAGCCCTCCCATCCCCGGGGAGGCCCGAGTATTTGCCAAGTGAGTCATCCGCATGCTGCCTTGGGGATTCTATACTCAAAAAGCTAGTGTAATAATTGCCTTTTGATGAGCTCATTTTTTAAACTCTAAAAGAATCGACACGCAAGTTAAGGACGGTTTTGCCTTCAAATTCATTATGACAAATACACACCCAGTAAGTTGGGAGTGCTTACTCAAAAGCCCATAAATCCAGGCCACGGCCTTGTGCACCATCCTCAGGGGCTGTTGGCCTGACACTTCCATAGGGACTCAGGTCATCCTCCAAAGCCTTGGGGAGTCCCCTGTACACCCCCTCTGGGGTTGGTGCTTTTGAAGGGCTTTTCCACACCGACACTCAGGAGAATCTGGTCCCTCTGGTCCTGGGGTTTCACTTCCCCAACCTCTCAACCCCTGGTTGGGGGGGGGGGTTCTCCAACCTTGGTTTATTTATTTATTTAATTTTTATTTATTTATGATAGTCACACACAGAGAGAGAGAGGCAGAGACACAGGCAGAGGGAGAAGCAGGCTCCATGCACCGGGAGCCCGACGTGGGATTCGATCCTGGGTCTCCAGGATCGCGCCCTGGGCCAAAGGCAGGGGCCAAACCGCTGCGCCACCCAGGGATCCCTCCAGCCTTGGTTTAAATGGAGGAATTCAGCCCCTGTTCTGAAACCTGAACTGGACAGGATTTTTTTTTTTTAAGACTTTATTCATGAGACACAGAGAGAGGCAGAGACACAGGCAGAGTGATAAGCAGGCTCCACGCAGGAAGGGATCACGCCCTGAGCAGAAGGCAGACGCCCAACCGCTGAGCCACCCAGGCGTCCCAGTTCTTAGGTCTTTTCTAGTAGAAATGTCAAGAGGGTTCTGAGGTTGGGGATTTGGCCCCTGGGGGAGAGCCTGCTGTTGTGGAACCTGGAGCCTCACTGGGGTTGGTGGGACTTGTCTCTCATGCCTCATTTGTCCCAAGGCTGGAGTGACACTGCATGCCCATCTCCCGTCAGGTGGGACAGACCTTGCAGGTCAGCTGGGGAAGCCAGTTGCTGGGGCCCCACCCTGGCCCTGGGGGACACCCCCCCAACCTTCACTACAGATGCCAATCTCCCTCCCTCCCAGTCCCCGGCTCTCTGAGGATCTCCGTCCAGCCCATCTCAGGGTGTGTGGAACCAGGGCTCCTAAGAGGCCACCTTCCACTTTTCCCCATCGACCCTGGTGTGCATGGGGGGATAGCCAGGAGGGTTTCAGGGTACAGTTGCTAGGACTCGGGCTACCTCTCCACTCACAACCTCAGTACTATATGGAGTGTGAAGGTGGTTCACTGCATCTGCACCTGTTACTTTCACGCACACACGGGCCTGGACACCTCTGTGTGCCCATGTGTGGAGATGAGCCCTGCTCTGAAGTGACCACCGCAGAGGGAGGAGGACTAGAGGCGGACAAGCCTGTCAAGGTGACAGAGCCCACCCAGGATCCCCGGGGGGATGCCTGCAATGGCACGTGTTGTAGCCCATCACCCACTCAGCACACTGCAAAGACCCGTCAGGCCGAAGGAACTCAGCAGCTGTTCCCTTCCCGGCGGCAGGGCTCCTGCTCCCTGGATCCCAGAGGAGGCAAGGAGACACACACAGCTGGCTGCATCCAAACTAAAAAGACTGTTTATTAACCACCCCTCATTTCCCACACAGGAGAGATCAGAGAAGCCTGGGCCCTGTGGCAGAGCAGGGACCCATACTGGGAGTGGACAGCACGGCATCCAAACCTGCAGGCAGAGAAATGTCAGTCAGACATGCATAGCAGGCCGAGCCACCCACTCCCACTCGGCACCTGAGCCAGAAATTTCATCTCCTCCCAGGAGGGAAGCCAGTGAGGAAGCATACCGGCTGGGGGTGGGGCACAAAGGCCGCTCAGATCCAGCTGCACCCCTGCAGTGTATGATGGGCAGGCCACACCCCTGGCGCTGACCTCTGGCAGGAGATCAAGGCACCTGGACTGGCTGTGAATATCAAGCAAACACCCTGAGCACAAAGCCAGGGACTATTCGGAGCCCGTTACCCCTGAGAGACCTGTGATGGGACCTGAATCTGGATCTGCCGCTACCCACCCCCCCAAACAGTGGGCTGTGGGGCCTTTGTGATGGGACTCTGGCAGCAGCCTGATCTTCCCAGGGTCCCAGTCGAATCCCAAGCCACAAAGGCAGTCAATGAACCTTTCTGGAACTCAATCACCTGACTTAGGAGATGAAGGTCAGACCAAGTCAGTGGTTCTGAACTTCTCTGGTGGGGGTGGGGTGGGCTCACGGGAACGAACAGAAGTGAAGACAGGCCTCTCCAGCACGTGTACCGCGGCAGATCGCAGACACAGCCACGCAGTGATGACCAGGCCACCTGTCCTGTCGGCATTCTTCTGGCTCTGGCACCTGGCTCAGGCGAGGGCAGACTGTACATCCTGTGCTGGGCAGGGACCCAGAGCAGAGCCTGCTGGGAGAGGCGCCAGTCAGACGAGAGATGAGATTGATGTATTCCGTCCCACAACTGACAAGGTGGCCCCCCAGTTTCAGGGATACTGGTGAGACATAAGAGGCTCTGATTAGAGAGAGGAACAGCTGATGCTGCTCCACAGGAGCAGCCAGAGCGTTGCACCTCCCGCCAGTCCCAGTGCCCACAGGGTGACACATGGGAGCCAGAGGACACCTGGCATGTGTGGTGGGCCACGAGGTATAGGAGAGCTGGACCCCTGGCATCAAAGGGCAGGCAGGCCAGCTCTGTACTACCTCCTCCGTCCTGCGGCTGCATGCCACGTGAACATCCTCAGATATATGGGCCAATGGGCAGCCCTGGCGGCTCAGCGGTTTAGCGCTGCCTTCAGCCAGGGCGTGATCCTGGAGTCCTGGGATAGAGTCCTGAGTTCGTCTCCCTGCATGGTGCCTGCTTCTCACTCTGTCTGTGTCTCTGCCTCTCTCTCTGTGTCTCTCATAAATAAATAAAACCGGAAGGAAGGAAGAAAGGAAAGAAAAAGAAAGGAAAAAAAGGAAGAAAAGAGAAGAAAGAAAAAAGAAAAAGATGAGCCAAAGTGCAGCCAACTCCCTGGGTACTCACGGAGCCCCCTGAGTGCAGCCGGTGTGCTCAGTGTCTGCACCTGGACAGAAGACACAGACCCCAAGTCTGCGGGAAGCCTTGACCTCGGAGAGTTGGTGTGGCCTGGCCAGCCACCCAAAGGAGCCCAAGGCTCTGCTGCCCTGCCGTGACCCTCCACCCACGTCAAGATCCCACTCCTCCCTCCAGCTCAGGCATGGGGAAGGGAACAGACGCGATGCCTGGAGGGGGTTTCTGGCTGGGCGACCCTGCTCGTGTGTGACCGAGACCACCTCCTGGTGGTCAAAGATCTGAACCTCGCGGGGAACTAAGATTTACGAGTCAAGCAAGCCTGCTGGTCCCGAAGCCTCCCTGCAGCAGCGCGGGCGGGGAACCTCACCTCTGGCTCTGTGGGGCCAGCCTTGCCCCTCGCTCCTTCTACGCGGTATTTGCCGGGGGCGGCCCCCCTCCTCCTGAGCTTCATTTTTAGCGTGCGTGGGGCTGTGGAGGGTCAGGAAACAGCGTGAGCAGGGAGCCGGGCACCCAGCAAACGGCCCAATCCCGAGTGCCTGTTCAGGCGGGGGGCTCCGCAACCTGCACGGTCCCCGACCGCGGAGCACCTACGGCGCTGACCGTCGGCGCTTGACCAGCCTCGTGGGACCACACGTGGCCCAGGTCGGCGCGGCAGCCGGAGGGGGCGGCCGCCTGTCTGAAATTTCTATAACCTCGCTCTGGATGGAGCAGGGCAAGGCCTCAAACCGTCTCAGGATGCTGTGGCAAGCGGTGCAGGAATGCGCAGGGTCACCGCAGACCCCAGCACGCTGGACGCTTGCCGGGCCCCGAGGGCCGCCGAGCGGGGCGCCCCCGCACCCCGACACCCAGCAGCAGCGCGCCCCGCCGCGGCCTCTCCCCGCAGTCCTCCTCGCACGCAGCCGCAGGCCGAGCCCCTCGGGCGGGCTCCGGGACGGCCGGGCGCCGCCACTACCCCGCGCTCGGCCCTCGGAGGCTCGGGAGGAGGGGGGGGTGTCAGTCCGCGCCGCGCTCCGACGAGCCGCGACCCCATCGCCTCGAGCGCTCGGCCCGCACGGCGGCCGCTGCTCACCGGGCCTCAGCCGGTGCCGCGGGCCCCGGCTGGAACCCCCGACGGCCTCGGATGGCCTCGGATGCCGGCGCCCCGGAGTAGCCAGAGACACATGGCTCCCGCGCTCCTCCCTCCGCCGCGCGTCGCGTCCTCAGGCAGCCCACCGGAAGCCGGGTGCGGTGACGTCACAGGGCGCAGGCGGAAGTTCCGCCCCGGCCGCGGGCCCGGTCCTTCCGGTTCACGTCTGGGCGCCCTCCGCGGCCCGGCGAGCGCGCAGCTAGGCTGGGTCCGGCGCCCCGCCCGCGGACGCCGAGCAGCCGTTCAGCGCGGTGCCCGCGGTGCGCATCCGTTTCTGCCTTGATCCTTGTCCATAGAAATGTTTTCTTTATCCCCTGCCTCTGCGGAGCGGCCGTCTGGGCGGAGGCGGTGGGGTTTTACTTCCATCTCCGCTCTGGACGCACGGAGCTGCCAAGGCTGCGCGGCTGGAAGCCGGCGGGGTGCGGGGGCGAGGGCCCCCGGGGGCACAGCGGAGCGAGGACCTGGGCACCCGCCGCGCTCAGGGGCCCCGAGTGTCGGGCCAAGGCGGCCAGAACGTGTGCTGCGGGGTGAGAAGCTCCGCGGCCCTGAAGCGCCTTTGCTAAATTCATTCACGCACTCGGGGTTGGGGCGTCCCGTTAAGTGTTTTATTAGATTCGGTGAGACCGGGCAGGGCTATTCCTTCCAGCTGGAGAGGTTAGCCAGGCGAGAGCTTGGTGCTGTCGGCCTCCCGACGCCCTCCCAGGGGAGCATCTGGGAGCCAGGAAGGCCCCGGGCACCTGGTGGGGGTGTGGTGGGCGCGCGAGCATCCCCCAGGCCTGGAAGACCAGAAGCTCTTTCCTAAAATGACAACCAACAGAATCCATTGGAGACGGAAAGATGCTCCATGGAGACTGACCCCCCCCCCCAAGTAATAAAGGACACGAGAACCCTAGAAACCTCATAATCAGAGCTCGATTGCAGGGAGGCCCTCTGAGACTGACACAGAGACCTCTCAGCGCTTCTTCACTATCAAACCGTGCAAAAGAATGTTCTCTAAATCCACATCTCAGAGGAATAACCATTATTCCTGCAGGCCAGCTGGAATGTATGCCCAAGGGAGAAGACCGTTAGCAGTTTGGGTCTGGAAGAATTCAGAGGGTTAGAGCTGGGGAGCTTGTGGCCTGCATCGCTTGTGGCTTGCGGCTGAGCCTCTGACCGGGCGGTACCATCTGGAGCGGGTTGGTCCTTTATCATTTACAGGCAGAAACTAGAAAATACGGATTCACCGAGAACTCACTTGAAGTTCTTGAAGAAATTCTTCTCTTTCACTTAAGGAAGTCACCCCCCTCCCTCCTTTGGATTTAGCACGGGCACATGCCAGAGAACGACTTGGAGATACCGAGTTAGTTACTTGCTAGCCGTTTTGTTCTCACGAGGGAGCTAGTTGATGGGCATCAGGACAGGAACAAAACACTGAAGTCTTCTCAGCCTTGGGAATGGGGAAAACATTCACTTAACAAAATAAAGAACAGAGCAGCCCGGGTGGCTCAGCAGCCTAGCACCGACTTCAGCCCAGGGCCTGATCCTGGAGACCCGGGATCGAGTCCCACATCACGCTCCCTGCATGGAGCCTGCTTCTCCCTCTGTGTATGTCTCTGCCTCTCTCTGTGTCTCTTATGAATAAATAAATAAAATCCTGGGTTTTTTTTTTTTAAATCTTAAAAAAATAAATAAAGAACAAACCGCACCAGTTAGTTGGTATCTAGCCAACATGTGGGTAGGAGAAAACTACCTCTGAGCAGGCCAGTTGATAAATCTCCAGTGTTCAGGGTGTTCTGGAAAACTCGAGTCCAGTGGGAAGGCATCTGTATGAGACCATGTCTAGGAACCGTCAGTGCCCTCCTGTCTCAGCCTGGTCAGGTGTGTGTCATTTGTCTCACTAGAACTTCTTGGATACAAAGAGGAAGCCCACGCAGTCCCTAAAGGACCTTATAGTTTAGTAGAGGGAATGTCCGAACATGGTTGACTGTAGCATCAGGAGATGCAGAGAAAGCACTCTCAGGCTGGAGGAGGGAAAAGTTGCATCTGAAGATTTAGTGGAAGAGGTGCTACTTCAACTGGGCGAAAGAGCCCAACAGCCAGATCCACCAGGGACAAACCAGGTATCCCTAAATTTGGTTTATTAACCTGCTGCAAAGAGAGAACCCTAGAGACAGCTGTGCTGCATCTCATTGCAAGAGTAGAAAGGAAATTTTGGAAGGTTTGGGATTGCATTGAGTAATTACTTATCATATTCTTTTAAAAAAGATTTTATTTATTCATGAGACCTACAGACATAGGCAGAGGGAGAAGCAGGCTTCCCGCAGGAAGACCGATGTAGGACTCGATCCCAGGATTCCGGGATCACGACCTGAACAGAAGGCAGACGCTCAACCACTGAGCGACCCAGGCGTCCCTATTTTTTAAAAAAGATATTATTTAACTGACACAGAGAGAACAAGAGTGCAAGCCGGGGAGCGAGAGGCAAAGGGAGCCCCATGCAGGGCTTGATACCAGGACCCTCAGATCATGACCTGGGCTGAAACCAAGAGTTGGACGCTTCACTGACTAAACACCCCCCCAGGCCCTTCCGGTCATTTTGTTCATGAGGTGGGGCCACAGGGTGGGCTCGGAAGGTTACTGGTAAGAGGAAGGAGGCCCTCTGGACACTTTGCAACTGAGGTGTGACCTTGGGAGGAATATTGTGTTCTCTGAGCACTGCAGCTGCCTCATCCTGTGGGTTATGAGAAACTGCATAAACATGTGGCCAGCGGCCAGACTATTCATAGACCTCGCCGGCTGACCTGGTGCAGCCTGCTCAGAAATGAGGCCCTCCTCTGCAGAAGACCCCCCACCCCCACCCCGCCCTGGAAGCTGGCTGCTAGAAGTCATACTTGGGGGAATTCAGACTGCTGTCTCTAGTGACAACCCAGGAAGCCACACGATACCACATAACAATCCAGATAAGCCAGAGAGCCAGGACTTGGTCAGTACCTGACATCTTACCTAATTATTGTTCCCAGTTCCAACTCAGGACCAACCAGAGAAAACCGAACACATGGCATGCCCCATGTCCACTTAGAGCACCTCCTGCTCCTTAGGCCCCCGGCCCCTGCAGGGCAGCTCTGAGTCCCCCTCTTTCAGCCATGAAGTTCTCCCCCTCCCCACCTGCCTTTGGGCCTCTACCAAACCAAGGGATGCAGTGACTCCCTCATTATAGCAGGCTCTGGACAAATAGCCTTGCTTGTTCTCATTTGTTTGGTCCTCCTTATTTCCCCCAGATTATGGGGTGCAAAGAGCTTCTTGGTTGGTGAACACGTTGGAGGTGCTAGTAGAGTAGTGCCCCCAGAGAGACATAGGGGACTCCGTGTGCCTGTCCCTACACCTCGCCATAGGCATCTCTCCCATCTGAATGTTTACCAGTTTTCTTTATCGTGTTCTTTAAAGAAAAAAAAAAGACTATTTATGTGACAGGGGAAGTCAGAGAGGATGGGGGAAGGGCAGAGAGAGAGGGAGAAGCAGACTCTCTGTTAAGCAGGGAGCTCAGACGATGTGGGATGACGCAGGGCTCAATTCCAGAACCCTGAGGACCCTAGGACCCTGGCCCACTCACTGAGACAGCCAGGTGCCCCTATCATGTCTTTTTCTAATAAACTGGTAAACAGTAAGTGAACTGTTTTCCTGAGTTCTGTGAGCCACTCTAGCGAGTTAACTGAGCCCAAGAGAGGCTTGTGTGAGCCCAGATTAATAGCCAATTAGCACAGGTAACAGCCTTGACTGCTGTTGGCATCTGTGTGGGCAGTCTTATGGGACTGAGTCCTCAACCCCTGGGATCTGATGCCATGTCTGGGTAGATGCTGCCGAGTGAGTTAAAGTGTGGGACATTCTGCTGGTATCAGAACTTCTTGGTGTGGGGAAAACCCCTGGACGTCTGATGTCAGCAGTGTTGAGAGAGTGCCAGCCATGTAAGAGCAAAGGAGGCACAGGAGGAGAGTGGGTTTTTCCTGACACACAGGCTAAGGGGAGTTTGAGGAGTGTTCTCCGCTGCAAAATATATAAAGGTACATGAGTGGGAGACTAATTGCTAGGTACACTGCCTTGTTTGTGTTTGGGGATGTGGCTGCTAAATTAGTGCAGGCGATAGAGTGAGGGACACCCGGGTGGCTCAGTGGTTGAGCGTATGCCTTCTAGCTCAGGGCGTGACCCCAGGGTCCTGGGATCGAGTCCCACGTCGTGCTCCCTGCATGGAGCCTGCTTCTCCCTCTGCCTGTGTCTCTGCCTCTCCCTCTCTGTGTCTCTCATGAATAAATGAATAAAATCTTAAAAAAAAAAAGGTAGAGTGAAAGATCTTTTCACCCACCTCCGCTCTATGTGCCAAAGGACCTGGAATATGCCTGGGGGTGCTATACAAACAAGTGTTAAGTATAGCAGAGCAACAAAGGGTTGGCTGGTTAAAGCAAGGAGACGTCTGAAGAACACGAGGATTGTAAATACAAGATGCAGCTACTACTCTGAGGGCTGATATGAAGCTCCCAGAGAAGTGACCCCTTCCCCCCAGGGCTGAGAGCCTAGCGACAGCTCCGCACGTGCTGGAGAAGTGCCTGCAGGACTCGCTGGGAGTCCTTGTAGAGCCTAGGGAAAGCTGGTCACGGAGAGTTGCTAAATTCCCTCGGAGGCAGGTGCTCCAAGGCCCCGGA